TTCTCTTGGTTTTTGTCCCCCTTTATGAGGTGGGTGGGAAACACCTTCTGCTAATGAAAAGAAACTTTTGGTCTGTACATCTTATCAAACTTTTATTCCCCTTTTGCCTCCAAGGCGCTCAGGCCAGCGTATGTGGTTCTCCCCTTCTCCAGTTTATTTTCACAATAGTCTTGTGAGGTAGGTCATACTGAGAGAAAGACTAGTCCAGGGTCACCCAGAGAGCTTCTGACTGAGTGAGGATTTAAATTATAGTCCCTGCAGCCCTAATCAGATACTATTAAGTACAGTGGATCAGCACTGAACCTGATAATTATACGTTCAAACACTTTGGTCACTCACAAGATTTAAAAAGGGGTCATGTTGCCTGTTTTGGGGATGTAGGTAGGGAAAGTATGACGTTGTGATTACACTACAAGCCCATTTCATAAGAATGCTAGTTACTGGCTTAGATGATCCCTTGGGAGTGATAGTTGAAAGAGCGTAAGAGAGTACTGCTGCAACATAATTGTATTTTTACTCTAGTGTTCTCAGTAAAGCTTTTTTTTAAGTTACAGAAATTGAAATACTTGTGATAATCAGATTTTATTTTCCAAGCCTTCTACTTTGTTTGAACTTTGAAGGCATAATTTGTTGTAATAAATTATCTTTAACAACATCTGGCAAGCTTTCTTGGAGTGTTTCATTTGTAACTCTGTGTGTAGTCTTGTGTTGTAACTAACCCCTTGTGAGCCTGTTGGAGGCTGAAACGTGTATTTGTAAAAACTATCATAAGCTGCTCTGAGCTTTGTGGAGCATAAATCAAATAAATAAACCAGCTAGGACTCTTAGGGCAAACTAGATATAATATGAAAATAAAATCAGTTGTGAGAGACCCAGAATGAATCTGGTATCATAATTCCTGTAGGCAACTTCTCCATGTATGCACAATACTATTCTTATGTCATGTGTATGAGTGTTTTCCTTGAAGATTAGAAAATGTAATTGGTGCAAAGATGATCATCCCAATCCTGATGGGACTTGATTATAGGGAAATGAGACTAGCGCTTCAGTATTGCACTGGTTCCCTTTCCATGAATGGATCAGTATCCTAGGTTTAACTCATGAAGACGTACATGTCTCAGGCCCTGTGTAGGTTGTTTCCTCCTTGTGTCAGGTTTGAGAGCAGTTAAGGGACCCCTCTTTAAGAAAGCACTTTTGTGCTGGAGTTCCTTATTCAGGTAATGCTGATGCTTTTCCCTTTGCAGCAGATAGGGGCTTTTTCATTTGCTTACCCAGTCGACGGTAGTATTTGCATAAAGAAGCAGTCCCTGCCCTCTCAAAAAAATGAATTATGGAGACCTGTAGGTGTCATCTTCTTCTGGTGGCATGAGGTGTGTTTGTGTGTGCACACACTCTTCTTTTGCACAATGAGGATAGTTGGCCAGAAAAGCTTTGTGAATCTTCTGGTGGCATGAGGTGTGTTTGTATGTGTGTGCACACACTCTTCTTTTGCACAGTGAGGATAGTTGGCCAGAAAAGCTTTGTGACTATTGTACTTCGGTCACATTATGAGAAGGCAAGAGTCACTGGGAAAGACAATAATGCTAGGGAAAGTTGAAGGCAGCAGGAAAAGCAGACCCAACATGAGATGGATTGACTCAATCAAGGAAGCCACAGCCTTCAGTTTGCAAGACCTGAGAATGGCTGTTAACAATAGGGCATTTTGGAGGACATTAATTCTTTTCTTCTCCTTTGCTGTCAAGTCACAGCTGACTTACGGCAACCCCATAGGGTGTTCAAGGCAAGAGACTTCAGAGGTGGTTTGCCATTGCCTGCCTTCACATCACGACTCCAGTGCTTCTTGGTGGTCTCCTATCCAAATACTATTCAGGGTTGCCCCTGCTTAGCTTCTGAGAGCTGATGAAATCGGGCTAGCCTGGGCGATCCAGGTCAGGGCTACAGTAAATCATAGGGTTGCCATAAGTCAGAAGGAATTTGAAGGCACTTAACACACACACACACACACACACTTGTATTTAATTGTATAATATTGTTTAATATTGACAATAGGAGGGCTCTTAGAATAATTCAGAGTGAGTGGTTTAAAAATATTCAGAATTCTGTAGATATTGTATGGTTTCTTTCCATGAATTGGACTGATGGCAGTTTGAGTTGGAGAGCTTGATGGAATGGCCGTCTGCTGACGTTGGTGCCAGTGTTGGGCATTTTGGATTCATTAGTGGAAGAAAGAGCAAGCCCTCCCCAGATCAGTTCAGGAGCAGACATCGTGGTGGATAGGGGTGTATCCATAAATCATAAGGCAAAAGTCATGGTGGATAGGGCTATACAACAGGAGCATGGTGTGTAGAACAAGATAGGGGTATAGAACAGGAGCAGAACAGATGACAAAGCCATGGCGGATCCTGCCACGTCAGCAGATTTGATCCTGAACGACCAGTGAAGAGTCTGCTTCTTTACCTTGTGGAAAAATGCCCTGTCTCTCTCCTCCCCCCCTTTCGCTAACCTTAATACTGTTACAAAATTTTAAAAGGGCTGGCCTTGTTAATCTGTTGCCACAACAAACCTCTTGAGTTTTTGAAATGCATCAGACTATTCTGCTTTTTTCTTTGGCATTTAGTCAGTTGATTGTGAAAACTTATTCCTGGAGTTTAAAAAAAAATGCACATCAGTGGTGGCTTGTGAAATGGCTTGTGTGAAAGCCTTGAAGGCTTGAGGAAGGGGGTTCAAGGTACATCTTATTTACAAGTATTGTTAAGGGTAAAGCATTAATTTGCATTGACCCTGCAAAGAGATTCCATGGATTCTGCTTGCTTTGCTCATTACTCCCCCTTTGCCTTTGCATTGCTGTAATATTTACTTGGCCATTACATCAGGCCTTGAGAAAGGGGTGGGTTAAGTTTCCTGAATTTCTTAACTCAGAGACAACTGAATACAGTACTGAACACGATTTCTGAGGCTCTTTTTCTAATCCATGTGCACACACGTCGCAATTTTTCACGCTCTGTTGGAGGCTGCCTCTAAAGGTTTCGAAAATAGATTATTCTTTGGTAGTGCTATCCTTTGAAGCAAATTACTGTGTGAACAAGTCCATAATAAAGGTTGTAATTTAAGCCCTGCGTATAACCCTTAGGGATAAACTGCTCCAAGATAGTGCATTCAATTATCATAAGAAAGATCGCTTCTGGTTTTTCTTGAAATACTTTGTAATGGGAACAATTGCAAGTGGTTGCAGCAGAGGTGTTGCAATATTTGCAGAAATATGTTTGCAAACAGTATTTGTAGCTGGTAACAGAATTAACCACACCAAAGTGAAGTGGGTGTCTTAACATAATGATGGATTTCTGTCCAGATCGTACTCTTCTGTAAAGGTATTTGTGCACCTCTCTATTCATCTAATGATGTCATGGGAAAGTTTAATCATGTGTGCCTGACTTCTGGACTACCTACAAATTTGATGTTGGTTTCTAGGAATCTGAAATATTTTTTCCAGCCCTGTCCTTCATTACCCAGAGTCATTTTCCAGTATCATCACCTGGAAAGAATGTGGTTCAAAGCCACATGGTTGTGTTGCTGTGTATTTGCCTCCTTGATGGGTCATGTGGTGTTTTTTTTCCTCCTTTTCCTCCCTGTGGTGGTTGGCCTTTTACTTGATTTGACATCTGTCATGACATAAATAATTGCCTGTTAACCACCTATTAAGTTAATATGAAGTCTTGTATGCTAGTGCAGCTTACTATGGTATGATCTCTGCAAATGAGTCATACTGATTACTGAGGTGAACATCAGATGTTTGTTTTTTTAGGCTCTGTTGGAGAAACTGGAGCTAGGTAGGCCATTCTGTAAGAATTTTGTTGTAGTGTTTGACCTGTAATAAAATAAGAATTCACCTAGGGGTTCCCCCCCCCCTCCCTATATTATGTTTAGCATATCTTTACTGGAGTATTCTAAAATCCCTTAAAATTTTACTTGTACATTTAGTTTTAGGAAAACAAAAATATATGGGCACTGAGAATCCTTAAAGACACGTACCTCTGTAGTTCATAAAGTGTGTCTTAGAAGTTGCCAGCTTTTGTCTGAGGAAGTTCAGGGTGTGCAGTACAAAGATGTAGAACTGCCTGAGTTGTTTCATGGAGGGCATGCAGGAGAATGAAGGAAATTTCTTTAAGAGTTTTGTCAGTTTTTTTGGATTTTATTTCTTGTAAGCAAAGACTGATGGGAATCAAGGCATCCTTAATACTTAATTGAGTTCAGCAATATAAACTCAGTGTAGAAGTTCTGCAAAGTTAGAATGCTTTTATCTTGGCTGTAATATATTGGGTAAGGAGGGAAGACTCCTCTTTCATGTAGTCATGGATTCTTTGGAGAAGCTGACAAGCATAGCTTTTCAGTTTGACAGATGGTTAATTCTTTGAGGAGATAGCCTGGACATTAAATATACTGTAGATTTCTTACAGGAGGAGACAAATTCTGACCCCTGATTAATTTTTATTGTGCTTCTTGAATGTCTTCTATAAATAGTTTCAGGCACAGAGGAATAGTTTTGTGCACAGAGTAATTCTCATATTGCCATTGGTGAGGTGATGGAAGGAGGCATGATGAAACTCTTGAATGCTTGGAGTAATTTTTTTTTTTTTGCTGGGAATCTCTAGCTACAAATCATGTGTATAGAATCTGTGTTGGGCCTTAAAATGTTTTATGGACTGGATTACAGCAATTCCCAGATGCAATTAGAACGTGTGCATGTCATGTGGCACATACAGACATAGATGTGCATGGACCCTGTGTTCCAATGCATGTTTTCTGGATTTGCTGTGCAAAGCAGTTGGAGGAATGGAAGATTTTAGGAACTGTATGTGGCATATGTGTGTGTGTGTGTGTTGTGGGGTCTTCATCCAGTTACATGGAAGCGACTGGCTCCATCAGTGGGTGAGCTGGTTTCAGTGTACGTCTGAAGTATATTCTTTATGGATTTATGATAATTTATGCATATTTATTCTTAGGTGTGGAACATCAAACAGATGATTAAGTTAACACAAGAGCACATAGAGGCCCTTCTGGAGAAGTTTGGAGGAGAGCATAATCCACCATCTATATATTTGGAGGTAAGTGTTGCATTGCAGACAGATTTCTGTGAGTTCCTTTATTTCTGAGAGTATGAAATAAGGGGCCTGTTAAGAGAGCAGGAAGTGCTTCTGTTTGACTTTAGGTTTAGTAATTGAGTTGGATTCGGAAAGTATGATGCTGTCTTCCAAAGTCAAGAGGTGGTATTCTTTTTGACATGAACAATGAGAGCAGTATAAGAAGCAGGCAAACCTTGTTGTAGGATCAAATAGTGCTCTTATGATTAAATACAGGTCCTGTCTGGTCAGAAGCAGGTAGTCAGCTCTGTAAAGGAGAGTACACTCTGAACCACACAAATAATCTCCTTTAAGCAAATGGCAGTGACAGCTGACAAGAGTGAAACAATTGAGATAAATGTCCAAAAAGTTTGTTCGAGGCTGTATGCTCAAGTAATCTGTCTGAAAAGTGGTCCCAGAGAGCATTCCAGACTGGATACAGAACTGATAAATTATGAGCAATGGATAGAGATAAAATTTAACTGCTGCTTTTGGCACACGTACCTTAGTTTTTCCATCTCAGTGATTGGACAAATAAAAATAGAAAACTGAAAACAAATCTTATAACAAAGTGTATTATTTGGGCAGAAAAGGTTTTATACAGTCATAATAGGATCTACCAGCATATTTAGATACTGCAGTAATGTTTTGTACCATTGAAAACAATGAATACTTCACCAGTATCTTACTGTGGAACACACTGTAGTATATTAATTATGGACAAAATTAGACACATTTAAGGAACATCCATGTCCTTCAAAAGATGTTGTCTTTGTCTGTAGTGTAAGTAGGAATTATCATACTTTAATGATGTAGGTTGTTTTACACAGCAGTCTTCAAAATATACATTTTTCAGTGAGTAAAGTCTTGTCTTTAAAAGTGTCACACCCTCTAAAGAAGCAAATATTTCAAAGAGGGTTTTTAGTGCCCCCCTCCCGATTTCTAATTTTTGCACTGAAAACTGCCCCCCTTCCCCCCCCCCACCGTTTTAATATTTTAAACAACAGGCTACAGTAATAATGCAAATTGGCATGGGTTAAAATTAATAAAAGCATTTCCATAATGTTTAGTTTTCTTACTCTGCCAGTCCTGAAACAAAGTTGCTGTACATTTATAAAAAGGGATGGCAAAACCTGAGCTCAGTTGTGGCACTCCTGCTAAAACATGATTGGATACAAGATGCAGTCTCTCACACCTCTTCCCTTACATGTGGTGTCCTGCTCTGTTTCCTGTACATGTCTGAATCAGCAAGCTGTAGTTAGTGGTTGCCTTCCAGACAAGTTATCTGCTTTAAGAACGTCTATCCTCCACTTTCAACCCAAGCAAATAAAGGGATATAAATTATGCCATAGGTAGTTTGCTATGGACATATACAATTTACAGAATTATGTACTGTAAATTATATGTAAACTCAAGGAACAGTACTTTGGTAGCAGAGCAAAAGTGTAATTATGTTATGGTTGAAGAACAGCTTCCAGCTTTTATAAAGGCTGTCAAATGTGGCTTGATTTTAGCAAATTTAGTTGGAGACAAAACTGATTTCTCAGTCAGGTTTGGAGGGCAAGAGGTAATTATAGTTTAACCATGTCACAACAAACGATATTGATGTTGACCAGGTTAATGTTGACCAGGAGCAAGGAGGATCACGTGCGGGTGGGGGTGGGGTAAGGTGAGTCTGAAGCTTGTTTTTGGTCTACCACCAGGCATGCATTTAACAGTGACGACTTGCTGGATTCTAAACCAGGCTGCCCAAAGTGCTGTGTGTAATAGTCCCAGTTATGTCTTTAAATGTTACTTTGGTTTAGGCACAGCCAGTACTTACAACATGTCTGTCTTTTCATCTGTTAAAAAGCTAGGGGAGGAAAATGTAGACTAACCATTTTGTTAAAAAATTCTGGCACACTTTTTTTGAGATGCTGATTTTGTTTATTTGTGGCATCTAGCGTTCCTGCTCCCATGACAGCTAGATCTTTTTTTCTTGAACAAAATGAGCAGTTCTTTGTTCCTGGAAAGCCCCTTGGGTTTACAATACTAGTCTTTTTGTTTCTGAGTATTTTGGAAAGTCTCAAACTTGATAATGGGGAGGGGGTCAAGCCAGCCAAGACACTGAAAGATTGGTGATTGGATCTTGCTAGGATTTTTCCAATAAAAATTGAAGCTTTGGATCAGGGTTATGGCACAGGGAGAGAAGGGGGTTTAACCCTTCTGGTAATCCAGATTGTCTCTTCCCCAGTTTCAGCATGCTGTTGCCTTTAGAAGGGGGAAATATCAGTTGACAAGGGAGCTAATAATACAGTGTGCATTTTTACTGGCAAAGTTATGCAAATTAAATCCCTTTTTCTCTCCATCTCAGCTCTGATCCCAGGTGTGGCCCCACAGCTGCAGTTTGCTTTTGAGAAAACTCTAGGAGGATTCCAGTGTATCTCATCTGGCGTGGTCTTAAATTAAAACTTGCACTAGATGTTGCATAGGCTTCATGTGGGTGAAACAATGTATGTTTGCAAATGAAGGGGCTGCATCCATATAGTGAAGAAAAGGGTGGTGGTGAGATAGAAGGAAAATGGTGTCAGTGTCAGTGAGACTTTCCGAAATGCACAGCTTCCCATTCTGAAGGCTTGTTAATGCGCTTGGCTTGTGTTCTTTCTGAAAGATCATGCCAAACCTAATAGAAGGAAAATGGTGTCGGTGTCAGTGTCAGTGAGACTTTTGGAAATGCACAGCTTCCCATTCCGAAGGCTTGTTAATGCGCTTGGACAGTGTTCTTTCTGAAAGATCATGCCAAACCTGTCTTGAGAGAGAATGTACTGAAAACAAGGAAAGCCTACAAAGGACACAATAAAAGGATGATGATGTGTGTGTGCGCAAGTTAAAAATGCTTCAGTTTGGAGGCAAAAGTAGAGAAAAACCTCTGGCCAGGGTATATTAGGGGAGTTGTTACAATGGCTTACTGCTCTCCTTCTGACATCCTCGTCTTGTTGAGTTATTGATTTGATTCTGTTCTGCTGCTTGCTCCCTTGGGCATATTTCTGGGTACAGGGTTGTAGCCAGCATTTTTATAAAGAGAACAGGAAGAAAATCTCTTAAACGGGAAGGAGAAAAACTTGTTGAATGTTTATGAGCAAAGATAAATTCTTTTTCATTATTTTGGATTTAAGTAACTGCATCTTTTAGGTTTCTACTAGAGCAGGAGTACACATTACTAGGGATGGGCATGAACCAAACCACAAAGCAAAATTCATCACAAATTTTGCCCTGTTCGTGATTCTTGAAGTTCTTGATAGGTGAACTTCCACAAACGTTTAGAGCAGTTTGTGCAATTTGTGGTGGTTCATGGATGGAGCAGAAAGCAGGGGTTTAAAGGGACTCCAAGTCCCTTTAAACCCCTGCTTTTTGTTCCCTGCAAAAGTCCCAAATATAGCTGACCGGTGGGGAGGCGCTCCCCGCTGCTCAATTGTTTCAGGCTGTCTTTTGCAGTCCCTTTTAACTTTAAAAGGACTGCACAAGATAGTCTGAAACAGCTGTGTGGCAGGCAGCGCCTCCCTGCCATGGAGCTGTTTTTCAGGTTGCCTTCTGCAGTCCCTTTAAGGTTTAAAGCAACTGCACAAGACAGCCCAAAATAGGTGAGTTTGCTCCCTGGTGCTAAGCTGTTTTTCGGGCCCCTCCCCCCATACAAATTGCGGCCCTAGGTAGGAAGCAACTAGTAAACCGCTCAGAGACCCTCCGTGGTCAAGGGCGGTATATAAATCAAATGTAATAAATAAAAAATAAATAATAAACCCCATTTAAAGGGATCGCCATCCTTTTCAATGCCGTTTGCAGGGCCACGAACCAGCTCGGTTTGCGAACAAACCTTCTGGTTTGGCTCATGGTTTGATTCATGGTTCAACCATGAATCAAACTGCATTTTCCCAGTTTATGCCAATCCCTACACATTACTACAGCAATTGTGTGTTTGCCTCTTAACAGTAAAAGTGGGTGATTTTCTGGGGAGAATTGGCAGGAGGACTGATAAACACTTCCTTTGCCTGCTGATTTCATCCCTTAGCCTCCCTCATTTCTGGATTTTATTCCTCTTCACAAGCTTATTTCAAGTCTCTGAGCCAACTGGTGGGAGGGGGGATAAAAATTAGCTGTGGTACAGGGTGCCATGAGAGACTAATTAGTCGTGGTGATGGTTAGGTGACCCCCATTAGTTCTTCCCTACCAAGGCCTCTAGTGCATTAGTGTTCTGAAGTAAACACAGCCCTGGGAATCCTGTGTCTGCCTTATAATGTGTCATTGTGCTCTAATGGCAAACTAGAACAGTACCTTATGGACTGCCTTGTCCTAGGCAAGCAGATTTCAGAGAGACGGCCTCTTCTGTTCTTGTGTAATGACAAGGGATTAGGGAGTGTTACCTGCACTATCCTTGCTAATTTTTAGGTGCTCACCAAAGTCAGTCTTATTCATGAGCTTTTGCTGGTGATTTTTTTGTGGGGATTTCTTGTTTGGTTAGGTCCAGCTTGCCGTTCTAGCACTGTTGTACTGGTTTTCTGCCTTTAGGGTTTTAGTTTTTTGTAGTTTGCTGTAATTTTAGGTGGCTCTATTTTATGAGTGTGTTATGCTATTGTTTAGGTTTGTGAACGCCTTCTTACCTACTACTTCTGACAAAAAGGCAGTATTTAGATAAATGAAATAACTTTCAAGGCGAACTCAATGAAATAGTTAAGTCTTACCTAAGTTGTATAGTGTGTGTGCTAGAATAAATAATGTGGCCATTGAGTTGATCAGCAATTCTGGCTCCATCACGGCTTGGTCATAAAGTTTTTCTGAATGTCTTCCATTGGACAGCTGGATCAGGAACTGTTCTAGTGATTGCAGCACAGGTGTTTAAAAAGACTATAAAAATCTCAGAAGTATACATCCAGATTATCAGTAATTTGAATAACATTATTCCTTCTACAGGCCTATGAGGAATACACCAGCAAGTTAGATGCACTGCAGCAGCGGGAGCAGCAATTACTAGAATCCATGGGGAATGGAACTGATTTCTCTGTCTCCAGTTCTGCTTCAACAGATACCGTTACATCATCGTCATCCTCTAGCCTCTCGGTAGCCCCATCATCCCTCTCAGTTTATCAGAACCCTACAGATTTGTCACGGAATAACCCTAAGTCTCCACAGAAACCTACAGTTAGAGTCTTCCTGCCCAATAAACAGAGGACCGTGGTAAGGCCTTTATATTTATTTTAAAAATTGTCATTTTTGGTCTCCTTGAAAAGAAACATGTTAAGAACAGTGGAAAGTCAAAGACCTATTGTAGTATGTTTTTGTACTCTATCAGAATGTGATGCATTGTTGAATTCATTGGGCAAAATACTGCTCTTGGGGGATCCTGTGTATTTTGGTAGACTATGTGATTGATTGATTGATTGATTGCTATCTTCAGATGTTTTTGGAGTTTTTGATGTAATAGAAAGATACACATAATAAAGAGAGTATACATACAAGCCCCCTCATGGATCACTGCCTTGTCGTGGCGAGGGGGCTTGCATGGAGCTGTGGGCTATGCCATGGAGGGCCACCCAAGACAAGACAGGCCACAGCAGAGAACTCAGACCAAGTTTTATCCCCTGGAGAAGGAAATCGCAACCCACTCCAGTATGTTTGCCAAGAAAACCCCATGGACAGTATCAAAAGGCTAAAAGATATGACACTGGAAGATGAGCCCCTCAGGTCGGTAGGTGTATGCAACGAACATGAAATTGAGCAAACTTCAGAGGACGGCAGGAGGGCCTGGGGGGATCTGGTCCATGGGGTCGTGAAGAGTCGGACTCGTCTGTGCGACTGAACAACAACAAAATACACACAAGGCGAGCATGTCTACCATAAAAATCTGTGATATTAAGAAATTGCTCCCATTTTGCTGCAAGGTCTATTTTCTGCACAGCTCTCGACCTTAATGAGTCTAATCTGAAATTATGTCTATTTTGTTGGTAGACCATTCATTTCACCAGTGTGTACGTCTCTTTTATTTTCATTAGACAAAAATGAATTTGGGCCTTTTTTTTTTGCTTCCGATTGCTAAATCTCCGGTTTATCGAGAATCTGTTTTTCCAGCATGGCTGGTATAATTTTCACAACTTGTTTCTGGTAATCTGTTGCCCATTTACATGTCCACCACATATGGAAAAAGTGCCTTCTCTACTTCACGAAACCAGCACTTTGTACTTCCCAGATCTTTGCTAACCTGAAAGGGGTTAGGTGCTATTGACCGATCATTTTTATCAGATTTTCCCTGTAAGAGAGGTTAATCTTAAAGGTGGTTCTGCTTTTTATCATCTAAATCACTACCAACTGTCTTTCTGCCACCTTGTAAGAAAACTACTATCAGGTTTAAGTAATACACCCAATAAAATGGTATACAGACTCAAAAAAAAGTTATTTCACATAGTTAACGTTTTCTTAAATTTTGACATGGTTCATAACACAAAACCTTTCTGTCATGTATCAAATAGATAACATTTCACTTGCTGATATTTGAAAACTAAAATACTCTAGTTACTGTGATCTTTAATGTCATTTTATGATATTACCTGGTTGTTATCAAATCTTTATATGTGTTAGTTGCAGTCAATTCCCACTTTCTTAAGTGGGAAAAACTAACCCACTTATCTATCATGTCTTCAACAACAGAGGGTAAAGGAGATTTTGGGTGATAGCTTACTCTTTTACTTTGTTGCATGCACTGAGTATGACATGTACCACCGTATTGTCATTATTATAACAATGTCTTCTACTTGGTTTCTTAACCCAAGGCCATAGTTTAAAATGGACCTCAACAACATTTTGCTCAATAACCTTTCTACATTACCTGTCATCCATTCTTTCATCCAACTCTGTCTGGCAGCTTGATAATACATTATAAGGGCCCCGGTCACACGCGCAGGAAACTGCGGGGGAGAAGTGTGGCTGTTTGCCCCGGGGCAAACTAACACGCAGTAAAGTGATCATACCTCCTGTGGAGGTTCTGTGGAGGTACCGTGGAGCTTCCGTGGTTACGGAGAGGCGTCGATCACAACACATGCCTGCGCGCAACGAAGAAGCGCGCAGCGCGGCGAACTGGGTTTCTTTTTTTGTGTACACTACGAATGCGCATGCTCCGTTGAGTGCTTATGCGCAACCACGGAGACTTGGGGGGGAAAAAAATCTTCTTCGCAAGGGGACATGGACGGGCGCCGGATGCCACCGGAAACGCGATCAGACGCCCGCCCTTGCCCCGCAGTTTCCGGAAACTAGTACCTCCGAGGTACTAGTTTTTTGCTCCGTTTTATCGGCGGTTCGCCACAGTTCAACCACGGGAGCTCTACGCTCCCCAGATGTTGCCGTGTGATCGTGCCAGGTAACTCCGCCTCTCTTCCGTCTATTTAGCGTGGCTTCTGCTCCGTGTGAACGGGGCCAAGATTGGGTATCCCTAAACTACCATTTAACTTACATTTTATTCTGACAAATCCTATACCTTTTTATCGTTGCCAATTATTTAATATTTTATAAGAAATCTCCACTGGTAGACTGCAAAGAAGGAAATGTATCTTGGGGGGAACCATAATTTTTATCATGTTCCACTGTCCAAGAAAAGATAAATTTAAGGTTCCCCAGAAGGTCAATTTTGCCTCTTTTTAACTATTAACAGATCATAATAGGCATTTCTTCTTCTTAACCAACTATCCAAATACTTAATGAAGCTCACTTTTTCATACTAGGAATCCAGCTATATTTTTTATGTTCACTTAGATCCATATTTAAACAAAGGACCTCAATTTTATCTGTATTCAGTTTATACACTGTGACTTTACTATATTGCATAATAAGGGCTTCTAATTTTCTATTGAATTTTTAGGTATTTATTATAAAGACAATTATATCATCAGTGTATAAATTAATTTAACTCCCTTCATCTTCATCTCTGCCAGTAGTTCCAAAGAAACTACAAAGAGGAGCTGAGAGGGAGCAGCCTTGATGAACTCCTCTCATATCAATTGGTGGGGATATAAACACCCATTCACACTTAATTTAGCAAAGGAGTTGGATATGCATCCATTTTTACCCATCTTAAAAAATTAGCTCCAAACCTGAAAGTGTTTCTGACAGAAATTCGTGTTCCCAGGCTATCAAACACTTTTCCGCAACTGAATACAGGAAAGCTGACTTAAATCCTTTCTTCTGAACAAGATGGTGTTGTTTTTTGTGTGAAATGTGGCTGTTTTTGCAAAAATGGAAAATAAATTACTGCTGTTTGATGTTTAGTACCAGCTATGTGCCACACGGTGTACAGAATGTGGAAAAAACTTGGAGTGTGTCTCTGCTCACTAAGTACAAAAGACAGAAAAAGTTGGCGCCTTCCATACTGGGTGCTTTTCAGTGCTCCTGTGACCTCAGCTCCTCCCACTGGGTCATGGAATGTTTGTTGAATTTACTGAAAGTATTTCTAACCCTCTTTTGTCCAGGTTTATAGGCCCCATAGATTTGTGTTGTGGCAGCCAAGAGCAGGTGTATCAGATTCTTTAAGCCTGTATTTGAGGCTTTCACTGTCATGTGGCAGGCAAGAGGGGGAGGAAGAGGGAGGAGAATGTTGGCCTGGTATTGAGAGCCAGTTTGGTGTAATGGTTAAGAGCACGGGCTGTAATCTGGGAGAACCGGGTTTGATTCCCCACTCCTCCACTTGCAGCTGTTGGTTTGACCTTGGGTCAGTCATAAATTCTTTCAGAGCTGTTCTCTCAAGGGCAGTTCTCAAGAGAGCTCTCTCAGCCCCACCTACCTCACAGGGTGTCTGTTGTGGGGAGAGGAAAGAAAAGGAATTGTAAACCACTCTGAGGCTCCTTCAGGTAGTGAAGGGCAGAGTATAAATCTCTTCTTCTATACTCCCTTCATCCCACCACTTCCGAAACCTTTTCCCGAAATGGCTTGCCATCCAGGTGGAACAAAGAAAGAAGTGGGGGAGGCTTGACAAAAGAAAAGTAAGGATTGGGTATTGGAGAGCTATGAGCCAGGAATTGAAGCTAGAAAGGGAGATGACAATGTGCAGAATGGCAAAGAGGGCACTGTAAAAGGCAAAATGTAGTAGTGGGTAAACAGAAGAGAGGGCCTCATTGAAAGGAAATGAACAGAGCAAGTGAAAGGCATAATATTGAAGGGCAATGGAATAAGATGATGCTATTGGGGTGGAGAGGGAATGGACCACGTGGACAAAACAAAAGTTTGTGCCCAGATTATAAACTGGGACCTGATTGTGGTACACAGAGAAGGCAGAACGTGCGCCGCTCATTTTCCACCCCCACCCCAAGCACACATTTGAAGCGTATTGTTGTCAAGGAGACCATGGACAACTATGAAGACTAGGAACAAAAGAAAAGAGCAAAAGAGTGCATTCCTAGGGTGTGTAGACTGTATAAAAGGTCTAAATAGGAATACAGAGGCTGGAACTGGAATTACCAGTGGTACAGAAAGTAAAGAAAAAATAACACTGGCGTTTTAGGGAGGAGACAGATTAAAAGTTAGGGAGCTAAGCAGAAGGGAGTTGGCAGGTGAAGTTTAAATGGAAAGGCAATTGAGAGTTCAGATTTCAGATACAGGGCAAAATCCAGTCAAGGCGGAGGACACTTCAACCCAGTTGATTTCCATGGGGGAGAGTTAAGCTGTGAAGTTGGTGTGCCCCTGACATGGTTTAACTTGGACTTGCTTGTGTCTGGCTTTAATGCTTAGCTCTTAAACGTTATAGGTAGAATTATTCAGATGTTCCCCATTATTAGCTACACATTTTCACTGTAAGCAGTATAGTCAGGTTTCCCCCCCTTTCCAGTGCAATTTTTTTAAACAGGTATGTGTAGCAAAGGAGCTTCAGGCTGTTTTAATAGTCAATCCTGTTTTTAAAAACTGACTGCTGGAGCAAATGCAAACTGTCCTAATGTGTTAGTGAGAGTAATTTAAATGTATAGCATTCACAGGTAATTTTATGCCTTAGAGCTTGTGCTGCTTTTGCGGTATTGTATGATCAGCATAACATGGTCTTGCAGGTCATAGGAAATTGTGGTGCTGTGCAGAGAATTTGAACCCTTGCTCTGTGATCAGTGTTCCCTCTAAGCTGAGTTAGTGTGAGCTAGCTCACAGTTTTTCAGCCTCCGGCTCACACATTTTTGTCTCAGCTCAGGAAGGAGGGCTCCAGAGCCAAC